GGGGCACACTGACAGAGGTGGGGCTGCCATGCACCGGCTCCACCGGACCATCAGTAGGCAAGGTGGGTGAAGTGTCTTGCCCAAGGACACAACGACTGAGACGGCTGGACGGGGGATCGAACCAGTGACCTTCTGGTTCCAGGACGACTCCCCTAACCACTCCGCCACAGCCGCCCAGTGACTGTTTTCACTACTGTTAAACTGGATCCACTCGTTATAAATGGATGTACACTGGATTATTTTGAGTTGGTTTTAAATGTGTTTTGTACATAAAGTTGACTTGACAAGACAAGCTACAATGTTTGATATTATAAGGTTGTTTCATTCCCAACAGAAGCCAGACTGAATTTCATCTCATATTTCTTTAGTTTGGGTCTTGTTGCAAGAATTGTACAGTTCATATACTGAGTAACTTGTGTTGATTTTTTTGTCATCTCATGCACAGGTTTTATTTAAAAAAACTGCAAAGGTTTTATTAAAGTGTGCTCACCCTGTGCTGTGTAGGAATGGCCGTGTTATGGGATTGGTGTCGACTGCTTTGCCCTGAGCTGTGACTTGTAGCTGTGGAGGCTGTTTCTCTGCACCTTGATAAGTCGGATTTTGTGGACGAGGACTCTGATCCAAAGCCTGCTCCTGCATTCTGAGCTGAAGGTGGAGAGGAAACGCCAGGACCTCTGTGGCCTGAGTCCTTGTGGACCTTTTGAGCGAACGGTTGAGTATAATGGCAGGTGTTCTGTTGGTGTTTGTGTTGGTTGCGTTGTTTGGGCCGAGTTAGTTCTGGACTGGTGCTGGTTCCATCAGTGTGGGGAGGACCACATCTACCATATCTGTCCCCTGACATGGATTCTCCAGGAGGTGAGGGTCTCCTGTTTTTACGACCGTGGGTTGAAGACGGAGCATAATGTTGAGGCGGGGGGCTGCCTCTGTGGTTCTTAGCTCCGTATGAGATGATTTTGTCAGGATTGGAGCAGTCTGAGTCTTTCCTAGAGCTGCTGTAGCCTTTTGCTGATCTGTTGGGCTGCTTCACAGGCTGCTCCTGCTCATTCCTTTTCCACACCTTGTGTTTTTTGGGTGGAAGCTGAGGTTTGACTGGGTCGGATGTCGGGACTGATGCAGCCGTCTTCCCAGTTGTCTTATCATTGCTCACACCCAAGATGGAGAGATGGGATGGACTCATGACTTGTCTGGTAATTTCATCTAAAAAGGCTGAAAACTGTAACTTTCCCTTGACAAAGTTTGCCTGTGCTTGCTCTATCTTCCCCTTTCCCTCCGTTGGTCCCTTGGTGACTCTTGGAGAGATTACCTCCATTGACTTAGCCTTACGAATGTCGGGACGATCTGTCTTGTTTTTTAAGATCCCTTTGCTGGGTAGCTGGCTGGAAGAAACTGCCCTCTTTGGTCCACTGGGAACCCCTAAAAAAATGTCATCCTGACTGAAAGCCAAGCTTCGATTCAGACTAGTTGTCTTGTACAAAGGCCCAAAGTTCATATGTGACTCTTTGGATCGTTCCCCTCCATCACCTTTAACGCCTGGCTGAAGGCCTTCTTCACTTCGACTGTGACCTCGGTTGAGGCAGGAGAACTCGGGGCGTGAGTCGTTGCGCGCCCCGCAAACAACGTTGCCTCCTTTGCCGTGCTTGATGGTGGCGAAGACAATGGGCTCACTGCTCTCATCCTCCATCAAAGCTTGACGCATGTCCGAGATATTGGAGCAGGACAGGGAATGCTGTGGCCGCTCGGCGTGGCGAAGCAAAAAGGGCTCGTTTGAACTCGCCTCTGTGAATGAGGAAAAGGAGGAAGAGCTGGAGGAAAGGGAAGAGGAAGAGGCCCTGGAAAGAGTCACAGACGTGCGATTGTTGTAAAATTTGTCGCTCTCTTCGCCGTGGAGAAACAGACGGGGATACTGGACATCCTGACGGGAGTTGTCATAGAGGTAGCGATCGGGCCGACTGTGCCGATTGTGCCAATTGCGCCGACGATGTCCTTGGCTATTGTCGGTGTTCCTATCATCATCGTCAGTTGTATACCTACATCATAAAAAGAACGGTTATGTTTATATTTACTGTATAAAATGAAGCATGTGTGTTTGACTCTTTTATAGACACATTTTCTCTGAGTAGAAGAAACCATCCTACCTTGGTGAGTGAGCGTACTGGTGACGGTGATGCTCTGGATGGTGTTGGTTCCTCTGTTGCTTGATCTGATCCGATGGACAAGGGTTGTGAACAGGTCTAAAAAAGTTCTCCATTACACTTTTTCTTCTCGGGTTCCACCACGGATAAGTGGTTGAATTTCTGTTATGTTTTTATAATCTTTGCGGCCTAGTTCTCCCAAAGATGTACAAATTACGCACCTGCTTGTTTGACTGCGTGTCTACCTGTACGAACAAGTTCATCTCTGTCAACGTCCAGCTGCAGAATAAAACAATCCCAGCTCGACTGCACAAATTCCTGGATGGGGGCATGAAATTTCATGATGCTTGAACGGCCATGTGCTTATCGAACCAACAAAAAGATCGAGAGCTTTGTTCTCTGCAGAGAACAAAGGATCTATACTACCTTATTTAAACTCACTGATAAAGCTGCACGGTTCCATTTCTTTTAATTTATCCTGGCTTACATATCTGATTCTATTATGCAACATTTTTACTGCTTGCTGACATTTTGTTTAATCAGTTGTTGCTATATATTTTTTTAAAAAGCATGTTTCTGTCCAATCAAAGCTATTGAATTGTCCTCTGTTGACTCATTGATTTTAAGGAGCTTCCTGCAATCATGTGGTCGAAGTCGATGTAATTACATTTACAGACCTCAATGCCATGTGATCGAATGGATTTTTCAGCCTCACTAAATAAGCACTGCACACCACAGAAAGGCAAAGGTGGTGTGTCAGGAACCACTGGACAAAATTTGATGAAATTTGCAGAAAGAAAAATAAAACATCAGATGTTAGCTTTATAACTGATACAAGATGGCTGCCACAGTCACCTAAACATAAATACGTGGAAACTAAGTGCAAATACTTTGTTACTGTACTTAAGTAGAATTTTTGGGTATACTTTACTTGAGTACCGTAATTATTTTTCAGCCTACGTTTTACCATTTTTACACAATTATCTGTACTTTCTTCTCCTTACATTTTTTCAAAGGTAAGAAGTAGAAAGTTGTTTCTCCTATTTCATTTTGGCTTGTTATTGTTAAAAAATACTATCCTGAAGAAGTGTGGCTCCTGGATAGTGAATTTAATTGTGGTTGGATGAGAAGTATAAATATATATCATTCTGATACTGTATTTAATTTGTACACAATCCATCAAAGTTGTGCGCCTTTAGAAAAAATATATTTCGAAGACTTTAGAAGATTTTCCAGAATACATTTATTGGGAGGTCACCTCCCAATAAATGTATTTTAGAAAACCTAACCATTCATTTTGACTCAGTATTTTTACTTTTATTAAGTACATTTTATGTCAGAAATTAAGTACAAAATAAATCAGATACTTTAAAACTTTTACTCACATAATATTCCTGGAGGTGACTTTAACTTTCACCAAAGTCATTTTATGATAAGATACTTTACTCAAGTATCACTTTCAGGTACTTTATACAACACTGATAGTAGCTGAGACAGATTTCCAACATATTATATAGCATTAATAGAATCTTTGTTTAAATTTTGCTGTTAACTATTCAGCAAAATATCTGATAAAACATTGGATGGATTTTAATGATTTTTTTAATAACCATGTGGTGTACATGTGCAACTCATTAACTCTTTGGAGTCAATGCATTTCACAATGGCATCTACCTTAAACTGGTCTTAACACAACTTCATTGTGGCTTCTATTTCATGTTACTCTGTAGTTGGCTGTGGATCAGTGGTTAGAACGGTTGTCCTCTAACAAAAGAGTTGGAGGTTTGATTCCCGGCAGTACGCAGTCACATGGATGTATTCATTATTTCCATTTATGGTTGTAATAATATGGAATTAGATTAGCACAATTTACAACTGATAAAATAACTCTGTACTTCTTCCCACTCCTCTTCTACGCCAGCTATAGCCTACAAAAAATGTGGAAATACTTTTTTGTAGGTTTTTCTTTATCTTTTGTTTCCTTCTTCTTTGCTTAGCACAAAATGTAAGTAAATTTGTGTTTGGAATGTTGTTTATTTGTTGAAACAATGCTTTTTTAACAATAAATCTTATACCAGCCACCTGGTAGACCCTGGGGGTACCAGAAGCTCAAAATAAGTGCCAACAACAAAATAAGCTTATATGGCAATGCCAGAGAAAATATGGCAATTTTTTAATGTGTACAGCCCACATAATCAACTCTACTGCTTATTCCACCAATGCATGTTCCTTTTATAAACGGGGCACCATTTTAAAGAGAAATTAACAGGCTTTCCAACATTTGTCATTTATTGTTGCAACGATGAAATGATCTAATTTTCTTGTTTTGAAGTGTTTTGAGTAGCAAGCAAGCAACTTAGAACATGCAAATAATTAATTCTAGAGTGCTTTTACTCTCATCACTGCAAATAAGGAGAAACTTTTAGTGACTGTAATGTGGAAGTAGTCACAAGAAGGTCTTGATCTCCAGGTTGTTGATCACTGTTTGTTTAATTTAATTATCAACAGAAGAGTCTCTTTCAGCTCTGGTTTCGGAGGGGCTTTGAATGCACCCTGTTCAGCAGATAAGTGGAATCAATTCATTGGTTTTGGGATGTGGCTTCTCTCAGGTTTCATGAAAACAGGGGCATTTTCATGAGTGGGAGACGTGACTCGTTGCACGTTTTTTGCACTCACTCCACCTGCTGGTAAACAACAGCAGCCTGAGGCTCAGTCTAGGCCTGGTAATTTTCCACCAGAGCACAACCACCAGGCACTGGATCTTTCTGGATTGTTCTAGTTTACCCATGAAATCGTCACATTCCATTAACAGTGTTCATTATTTAGGGGTGCTAAACTATGGAACAATAATATACTTTTAATCAGAGCTACATGACAAGTTTTGTACTTAAAAAATAAATACCTCTTTTATTTTTTTCTTTTAACTGTCTGTTTAGCATCACCTTATAGAAATAGCCAGTTAAAAACATAAAAGAGGTTTGTTAACACAGCTCATCCAGGGTGTAGGGATGAGTTTGCTGTTTTCTTTTGTCCTTTAATCATAAAACGCATATCATTGCAGTAAAGGAAAAGTAGATCCGACAACTCAACAGCATTCTGGTTTGAACCGGTTTTGCAAGACCGTGTGTGTGTGGAAAGTAGCGTATTAATCCGCGCTGCCGTTGTTGTGACGTCAGCTGTTTTTGTTTGAATCTTCCTTTAACTGCGTTGGTTTTAATCGAAATGTAAAAAGGCTGGCGATCGTTTCGGGGTGTTTTATTAAACGTTTAACAAAACTCAGTTCAGGGTTGCGTACTGTTCGTCTTTCTGTTGAGTGAAATCCACAGAAAATGTCCCTTTGTTTAGATGTTGCCCTAATTCTGCCCGGGTGGTGCGTTGTTCAGTAGAAACCTGACTTAATCAGTGCTGTTTTGAACAATACACCGTTTATTGTTCCACCATTGTGTGTATTTGTTATGATTGCAACTAGATTTTTTTAAAAAAAAAAACTAAAATCGAGGGGACTATTTTTTGTCGGATGGACACGTGATTTTCAGCTAGCCGAATCACCAACGATTATAAATAGGAGCTCCGCCATTCTGCTGTACTGCGTTTCATATCCCGACTTCAAGAAGGCGCAGAGAGGCAGGCGAACGGCGCAGGGTGACGCGGTTTTATTTTATTTTTACCTTTTCTTTTCTTTCTTAAACGATACCTTTAGACGTAACGAAGCTGTGTATTTTTTGTTACTTTTTAAGTTTCATAGCTGCTATTGCTGCAATAGAGATGGTTGTTTTTGAGGTAGTTCGGCCTTGGCTTGTCTCAAAGACGTAAACTGAGCTTTCATTAACCTTGCTTAAGGTTTTTTTTTTCATGATTTCGTTTTTGACATTCTTCTGTATAACTATGCTAGAAAACAAACTCTAAAGTTATTGACGAAAAAAAATTAATGCATTTACTAGCTGAAGTTAACGCCTTGTTTTGCGTTATGATGTCGCATACTTTAAAAACGTGTTTTAACCTCTGTGTTTAACGATTTATTTTTAGAACAATTAATCACAGTAACTTGACAAACGATGGTATTTTTAAACTACGTATTTGTTTATGGCATTTTTTTAACGACTGTTAGCCATACTTGAGGGCTGAGTGACTTAAAAGCCTGGTGATTGGTTGGACTAACGATGACGAAGGCAGCAAAGGGCGTGGTCAAGATTTCTGCACGCATGCGCGATAAGGCTTGTTTGGTTCAGACTAGCAGCCACTCCTCATGAGTGACGTAAGTTTATGCTCAGCAAAATGGCTTCTTGTAAGTCTCAATTATGAGTCAGTTTATTTCTCATGACCTTGTAAGACCAATATGTTAGAGCATTTATGGATCGAGTGTTAGAGAAGTTATTTTTTTTTAAAGTCAAGAAGTGCCTATGCAGTGTTGCAATGGTATAAAAGTGATTACGTCAGCCTTTTTATGTGCGATTTCTAAAATGAAACATTTGCGCAAGTTTTTCCCTCTCAATGAGCACTTGTAACTTGTTAATTATTTATACTTGCCAAGGCCAAATATGTCTGCTCTTTTTTTTTTAAATACATAAAAGCTCTTAATTAAAGCATATTAGCCTTTGTTAGAAATCTGGACGTGGTTTTTAGCATTTGTTTGCGAATTGAGTTTTTTTTTAAAAAAAATTAAGAAAAAAAGAATACAAGTTGATTAAAGCCATGGCTCAAAAAAAATTTTTTTTTTCATAACAAAAAGGCCATTTTTTTCCTCCTAAAAAGTTATATCTGCAGCTATAATTTGAGTCACATTTTCTAAACGAACATTTCACTGGCCTAGAAGCAACAATTTTTTTTATTTTTAATTATTTTTTTTTTAAATAAAATGGACTGAGTTATTGAGGGCAGAATGGACTTTAGTTACTAGAAGATCGTGGGACCAGCGTGGAAGAGAAGACCAGAGTCGAACAGGCAGGACAGGACCAGAATCCAGGCAGGACAGGACCGGAGGGCGTAGGAGGACCAGAATCCAGGCAGGACAGGACCAGAGGGCGTAGGAGGACCAGGGTCCAGCCAGGCAGGACAGGACCAGAGCGCGTAGGAGGACCAAAGGCAAGACAGGACCAGAACACCGAGGCGAGAGCAGAGAAGGTTCGACAGATCAGGAGCTGTCTGCGGGCTTACACCAGAGGGCGCCAGAGGCAGAGGGCGGCAGTGTAGCTGAGAGGCCAGCAGCCGAGCCGAGCCAAGGGTGGGATGGGTGGACGATCTCTAGCTTCAACCTTAAGCCGGGCCTTTGGTTTG